AGACAATGAGTGCTCACAATGTGTAGTATTTGACCATGAGCCACATCATAGTGCAGCCTTTTTGCTGGCCTCATCTTCTGGCTGCATGTTTTTGCTAAGGAGGCACAAGGTAGCCGTGAGAGAGCTGGGACTTGGGCTGAGTATTTTTTCCCTTCTGTAAGACGCTCCAGCTGTAGACCATCACCATATCTATCTGCTGTAAGTGCTGGGGACTGTACTGGCACTGCAGAGCAGGCTCAAGTGCTGAATGGCCTTCTCCTTCCCCTGTTTTCTATCTTTAACACTCTCATGATTAAGTGGATTATTTCCCACAATGCATTGCTGAGCTGCAGGGATGCAAGAGACCTGTCAGATAAGGTGGATGAACTTGGGGTATGGATAGGAACATGGAACTGTGACGTCATAGCTGTTACAGAAACATGGCCGAGGGAGGGACAGGACTGGCAGCTCCATGTTCCAGGGTTTAGATGCTACAGGAAGGATATAAAGGGAGGCAAGATGGGAGGGGAGTGGCAACTTTTGATTAAGGAAAATATTACAGCTGTACTTAGGATATGCCTGGGGGTGGGCGATTGTACAATATAACTATACAGGTGGAACTCAAGAAATAAGGTGGGGATGATCACCTTGAGGAATGTACTATAGGTCCTCCAACGGTCAGCGAGAAACTGAGGAGCAAATATGTAGAGCGATCTCCGATATGTGTAAGAATGATCGGGTTGTAACAAGGGATTTCAACTTTCCAAACATAGACTGGGACTTCCATAATGTTAAGGGCTTGGATCGGGAGGAATCTGTTAAATATGTTCAAGAAAATTTTCTTTATTAGAATGTAGATGTACCTACCAGAGAAGGAGCAAAACTTGACCTTCTCTTGGGAAATAAGGCAGGGCAGGTGACTGAGGTGTTAGTGGGAGAGCACTTTGGGACTAGTATCATTATACTATGAGTTTCAAAATAGCTATGGAAAAGGGTAGGCCTTGTATAAAAGTTAAAGTTCCAACTTGGAGTAAGGCCAATTTTGATGGCACGAGATAGGAACTTTCAAAAGTTGATCTGGGTAGTCTGTAGGTAAAGATGACTGGCAAGTGGGAAGCTTTCAAAAGGTCAGCTATGTGTGGAACCACAGGAGAAGGGAGAGACACTACATGAATATTTCACGTCAGTATTTACTGTGGAGAAAGACATGGAAGCTAGGGAACTTGAGAAAACAAATACTGATTTCTTGAAAAGAGTCCATGTTACAGAAAAGGAGGTGCTGGAGATCTTAAAAAGAAACATAAATAAATTTCCAGGACTTGATCAAGTGTGGCCCAGGATGTTGTCGGAAGCTAGGGAAGAAATTGTAGGGCCCCTAGCAGAGACATTTGTATCATCTACAGCCATGGGTGAGGTGCTGAAAGACTGGAGGGTGGCTGATGTTATGCCTTTATTTAAGAAAGGCTGCAAGGAGAAGCCAGGGAACTTTAGACCTGTGAGCCTGACGGCGGTGGATAGGTGGTTGGAGGGATTCTGAGAGACAGGATTTACATGTATTTGGAGAGACGAGGACTGATCAGGGATAGTCAGCATGGCTTTGCGAATGGGCAATTGTGTCTCTCAAACTTGATTTGAGTTTTTTGAGGATGTGACCAAGAAGATAGATGAGGGCATAGTGGTAGCCATTGTCTATGTGGCCTTTAGTAAGGCTCTGCATAGTAGATTGATTAGTAAAGTTAGATTGCATGGGAATCAGGAAGAGCCTGCCAATTGGACACAACATTGTCTTGAAGGTAGGAGATGAAGGGTGGTGGTGGGTTGTTGTTTTTTGGACTGGATGTCTGTGGCCAGTGGTGTTCCACAGGGATTGGTGCTGTGTCTACTATTGTTTATGATTTATATAAACGATTTGGATAAGAATTTAGGAAGCTTGGTCAGTAAGTTTGCAAATGACTAACCTTCTTCACTGTCCACTTTACTAGCAATGTTATCTAAGAGTACAATTGGATCTTGATCAGCTGGGCCAATGAAATTTAGATAAATGCGAGGCATTGCATTTTGGTGAGACGAACAAAGGCAGGACTTAACAGTTAATGGTAGGGCCCTGGAGAGTGTTGTTGAACAGAGAGACCTCAAAGTTCAGGTACATAGTTCCTTGAAAGTTGCATCACAGGTAGACAGGGTGGTGAAGAAGGCGTTTGGCATGCTTGCCATCATTGCTCAGACTATTGAAGGTAGGAGTTGGGATGTCATGTTGCTGTTGTACAGGACATTGGAGAGGCCCCTTTTGGAGTACTGTGTGCAGTTCTGATTGTCCTGTTATAGGAAGGATATTATTCAATTGGAGAGTGTGCAGAAAAGATTTACCAGTTAATTACTAGGACTGGAGTTCCAAGGATAGGTTGGATAGGCTGAGACTTTTTTCACTGGAGTGTGGGAGGTTGAGGGGTGACCTTATAGAGGTTTATAAAATTATGAGGGGGCATAGATAATGTGAATAGCAAAGGTCTTTTCCCAGGGTCAGAGAATTCAAAACCAGAGGGCATAATTTTTTAAGGTGAGAGGAGGAAGATTTAAAAAGGACCTGAGGGGCAACTTTTTCACAGTGTGGTTCGCGTGTGGAATGAACTGCCAGAGGAAGTAGGAGATGCAGGTACAGTTACAACATTAAAAGACATTTGACAGGTACATGAATAGAAAGGGTTGAGAGGGATATAGGCCAAACGCAGGCAAATGAGACTAGTTTGGGAACCTGGTTGGCGTGGACAAGTTGGACTGAAGGGTCTGTTTCCATGCTGTGACTGAATGACTCTGTGTAAGGGTCAGGTTCTGACCCTGGTCCAAGTTGAGTTATTTGAATTCATAGTTTCACACGTGGCTACGCTGGGGAAGGACAGTAATGATCTTCACTTTATTTACAATCCAGAAAGTGTGGAATGAGTTGAGGACAGCATCCGCTTCTCTTCTCCAATTGGGAATTCAGTGATATATTGGTCATACTACTGTACTAACAATATCAGACCATAGGAACAGAATTGGGCCATTCGGCCAGTCGAGTTTGCACCACCATTGGATCATATGTTTCTCACCCCCATTCTCCTATATTCTCCCTGTAACCCTTGATCCAGACATATCCTGTAGCGAATGTCAGTTTAAATCCCACCACAGCAATGTGAGAATTTTAATTTTGTTCAGTAAATAATTTTTGTAACGCCTGGTATCCATTAAAGTGATGATGTAGCTTCCCTGACTGCTGTAAAAACCTAACTAATCTCCTTTTAGAAGAAATTCTCTTCCCATCCCACATCAATATAGTCATTTTCAGCTCCCCATTCTGTAACTGCTGTTTCTCATAAGCTTTTTTTTTCCCCACTGTTTTCCCCTAATCTCTATTCCAAAGTTTTTTTTTCTCCTAGTACAGAACTAGAGCATTACTGGGAAAAAAAAAATCCTATCTCGTCAAAGACATAACTGTTTAATACAGCCTACATACCGAGCATCACACTGGGACTGGAAGTTATGTACCACTTTATTCATTTGTGTGATCGGCAGAATGTCTTTTTGGCTTAACAGGAGCATCCTGTTAGTACTGAACACTACACTTGTTTCTGCCACATTTGTAGAAATATGAAACAGCTAACTCTACCTATTACTGAAACCTTTGAGATACCTTACCCAGGGTAATCTGAGGCAGACTGGGAAGATTTGTGTCAGTAGTGACGTCTTTAGGCCCATTAATGAGTTTACATAACATACAGCGAGAAATAATCTAGTACTGGTTGTCATTATCCCTCAGGTTGACTTTGATGCACTGTGTTCACCATGCAAGCCTGGCACTCAAATTAGTGGCCTACATACACTAATATATTGTACCCTGTCTGTTGCAAACAGAATGGTCATGTATATGTACTCTACCTGCTCCAACTCAACAAAATAGGTGATAGTCATTTACTGCTTCATTGCTTAGGACAATGTTTTGACCAATCGAATTCATCCTGCCTGATTTAAAATTTAAACAACATTGGCAGTTCACTCCCAGTTATCATCAGCTGGTGCATTCTCCATGGCATCACCTCTACCAATCAGAGTCCACTTGGCAACCAATCAGTATTCTCCTCTGATGCAGTATAGCTGTTGATTTCCCTTTAGGTTGGTATTCTTGTGAATTGTTTCATTGAGCACAGGAAGAAAAACTTTGACAAAATGTCTTTTATTTTCAGACATGCTCAGTCTCTCTTTCCTTTGTGATTTAGTGAACTCTAACCTTGGGTGTTCCCTATGTGAATTTGCTTGGTTTGTATCTGTGGTACCTCTAGCTTAATTGATCTAGCAAGTCAGTCAGTTGTAGGTCAATTAACCTGTAGAGACATGTTATAATAGATTTCAAGAGTAGATGGGACATGAACCTGGGTCTCCTGGCTTAGAGGTAGGGACACTGCCCCTGCACCACAAGAGCCCTCACGACTCAGTTGTACTTCACAAGGACAGCTGGAGATGGGCAATAAGTGATAGTTGTGCTATTGCTGAAGAATTAGAAAACATTGTCATGTAGCCTGGTACTACTGAGCAACTAGACCCCAATCCAATGTAGAAAAGGAGCAATCAAGAAAGTTGACAATTAAGGAGAAAAACACAAATAATGCAGAGAAAATTTAGAATTAAATCACCGCCTTTTCTGTTTTAAGCCTAAGTCTATTTCATTCGACATTGAATTAAAGTAGTTCTGAGGAAAGGTCACTCGACCTGAAACGTTAACGCTGATTTCTCTCCACAAATGCTGCCAGACCTGCTGAACATCAATTCTGTTTTTGTTATTGAATTAAAATAGTTGCTGATAAAAATGACCTTTTCCCTGTGCGATTTAACCATGTCTTACGTGAGAGGTATCATTTATTGGCGGGCATTTTGTGGGGCTTTAACCTTTGAAGGCCCCATTGTTCTCCAGGATGAGCACCTGACCTGTTAATGAGCTGGTAATTCATGTAATTTCTAATGATTTGTCTTTTTCTCTTCATCCACAGAATTCTGCAAGGAACTTCCAGGATTTCGATTGTCAGGTGAGTCGACCCCACATCCTCTGAAAGTCTCTAGCAGAATGTAGCGTGGGTTTGTAGCACCGTTTTTCAGCATCACAGGAAAGTTGTGGGTGTGGTCACATTCCAACCTGCTGGGGTGAAGAAAATAGAAGGCTGGATGAGTTCCACAGAATTCGGATGAACTGGCTAAGCAGATCTCAGTCAGTGAAATTGTTGTCTTGTAGAATGCGAACATTTCGGGATTATTCCTCCAACCCCTCCCTTCACAATCCCTGGTGTGCCTGGCCAGAAAGCTACAGAGAGCAAAGGTCATCGACATGTTTCACCTGTGCTCTCGATAGAGTTTTGTTTCAGAAGTGGAATGAGGTCCAAAGGGGAAAAAAGTAATGTTTAAAATACGGTTTGCGAGCAGTATGTTTTTGTTGTGTTGCATTGCATGTGGCTCTCTGTCAGTGGAGCCCCCACATCCAAGCTCGAACATTATCAAGAATTTTTCCATGGCTTGAAAATTGCAGATATGAAGGAAGATTGGATAGATTACAGTTGTTTTCCTTCGAACCAAGGAGGCTGAGGGTTGTCTTAATTGATGTCTACAAAATAATGAGGGGCTTGGATAGAGCCGACAGTGGACACTTATTTTCCCCTAGCGGGGAGATCAATTACTGGGGACATCAAGTTTAAGGTGTATTGTTAGAGAGAACATGAGGAAAACCTTTATCACCCTAAGGATGGTGGCTATCTGCAATGCACTGCCCAGTTTGGTGATTGAGGCAGAGACCCTCCCCTCCATTAAAAGGAACCTGGATCCGTTCCTGAAGTAATGTAAGCTGCAGGGCTATGGACTAGGTACTGAATGGTGTTTGTGGCACAGTAATCGTGTCTCTGCCTGTGGGCCAATAAACCTGGTTCAAGTCCCACCTGCTCAAGATGTATTTCGAAAAGTATTTGCACAGGTTGATTCGAAAAATAAATGAACCAAGTGCTGGTAAGTGGGAATAGATTGGGTGGATAGTTTATTCGGGATGGGCTGAATGGTCTCATTCTCCGGTATAACCTTTCTGTGGTTGTTGGTTTGCTTCGTACAGCAGAGTCTTGAGCACAAAGTCCCAGCCAACTCTCCCAGAGCAGTACTGAGGGAATGTGACACTGACTGAGATTCACCGTTTAAATGAGATCTTGAACTGAGGCTCCCTGTACCGTCTCAGATGGACATCAAAGATAAAACAACGCCATTCATGGAAGATCAAGGCTGTTCTTCCTGGTGTCATTGTCTAATGTTTTATCCCTTAACCTGCATCGTTCACATTTAGAACAGATGGTTTGATTAATTTATTAAATTTTTCATCCTGCGTTGTTCTGTTCACACCTCAGTACTTTAAAAGAGCCCAGTGTGCGGGGGAGAGCAAGCCCTGCGGTGACGTCAGCGAGGTAGGCCCAGCCTGAGAATTGGCGACTTTGTCATTGGCTCTGTCTGGCACTGATGGCGGTGAAGCGGTGGTGGGGGGCACTGTGGCAACGTTGACCGCGGTGGTATTCTCTGACGTTGGTATGCCTGACGCGGCTAGCGGTTAAGGTGAATTGGCCAGCAGTGGCCCCCGAGGATCGGCGACTTTTGATATTAGTTGGGTCTGGCGAGGAGATGGTGCTTCTGGACCGGCTCAGAACTTGTACGTAGGTGAACCTCCCTTTTTAAACTATGAAAATAGCACCGGATTATGGCAACAAATGAAAGCTTTTCACTGTGTTTTATTGTATGTCACTGAACGGTACACGTGACAATAAATCGTTCATTCATGCTGAAAGAGTACTTCATTGGGCGTAAACCTGCGGCAACTTTCAATGCAAGTGCTTTTTTTTTCGTTTAATGACTTATTTTGTAATACGAGGAGCAGAGGATCAATTCTGTAAATGGGGAGAGAAAGCCTGCCTGGGTTAGCTGCGTACAATGTTTATCATCCAGACGGGCCGCATTCAGTCACTAATCCCGAAGCTGGAGGTTTAATACATTCTGACAGAACACCCAGGTGGTGCCATCATAATATTCTGCAGATTTTTGAGTAATCCTGGAATGAGTGTCTTTAACACCACAATGAACAGCTGGTGTTACAGTTCCACAAAGTGCAGTCTCCATCAGGCACAGCCCGCACTAGTTGATGCGGGGAAGAAAAAAAATCGCATCATATATTTGTACAATTTGTCAGATTGTGCAGTGAATGTCAGCAGCAGGTTGGGGTTTTGGTTCGGTCAGATTTCTTCGTACCCATCTCTTCACCTTTCCTGGCCCCCACCGACCCCGCAGCAAGAGAACTGCAAAACAGGAGAAAAGAGAAAACAGTAAACTTAGCACACTCAGTGTGGAGTTGCACTGATTTGCAGGCCCAATTGTGAGAATTAACTTGATTAGTCCATATCCACGCACAGCAAGACTTGGACAGCGTTTTCAGGCTTGAGCTGATAAGTGGGGAGGAATTTTTAAACTACACAAGTGCCAGGCAAAGGCCATCTCTAACCAGATAGAATCTGATTGTCTCCTGGTATATTGAACATCATTGCTGAATCCTGCACCATCGACAATCCTGGGATGTCCCACTGACAAAGAACTGAACTAGACCAGCCACAGACATTTTCACAATCAACCTTTCAGAGTACATGCCTCTGAGAACCTTGGCCTCCTGGCTCAGAGGTAGGGACACTGCACTCAGCTACAGGATCACCCCCTCACCTTTCTCCCTAGGCCGGCCATATAAATACAGGTCAGGAATTGTTCATCCGAAAACCTTGGGACTGATCGTTTCTCCAGATAAAGGATAGTTTTGGTTTCCAGATATAGTTACTCAGTCAGTCTGTTCATGTTTGTGCCCTTTGAAAAAGGTCTTCGCTTTTTAGGTCCGTTTGAGTCTGTGTGGGCCAGGCAAAGTTTGTTTTTTTTTCCCCCAAAGGGCCTGAATTCCGTTGGTGTACGTGTCCGTTCTGGTCTATTCCGGTCCAGTTTCTGAAGACTTTCAGTTTTCGGATCTTTTCGGTTTTCGGACTTGCGGATAAGGGATACCCGATCTGTACTGTGGCGACTGGAACAGGTCAGAGGCTGGGAATTTTGTGGTGAGTAACTCGCTTCCTGTCTTCCCCCAGAGCCTGCCCACCATCTACAAGGGATAAATCAGGAGTCTAATGGAATACTCCCCACTTAACTGGATGACTACAGATCCTACAACACTCAAGAGACTTGACACTTTCCAGGACAAAGCAGCTCATTTAATTGGGACCACATCCACAAACATTCACTCCCTCAGTAGCAGCAGTGTGTATCATCTGCAAGATGGTAGTCAGGCTTTGGGGAGTCAGGAAGTGAGTTAGACACTGCAGGATTTGTAGCCTCTCACTTGGTTTTGTGACTGCAGTTATTTATATGCCAAGTCCCTTCAGTTTCTGGTCAGTGGTAACTGCAGGGTATTCGTTGTAGGAATTCAGCAGTGGTAATGCCATTGAACATTAAGAGGTAATGGTTCGATTCTGTCTTGTTGGTGATGGTCATCGCCTGCCATTTGTGTGCCATGAATATTACTTGCCAGGGATCAGCCCAAGCTTTTATGTTATCTGGGTTCTGCAGCATTTGGATATGGAATGCTTCAGTATCTGAAGAGTAGTGAATGATGCTGAACATTTGTGGGCAATCATCAGTGACCATTTCTGTTTCTGACCTTCTAACGGAGAGAAGCTCATTGGTGAAAGAGCGGAGGGAGATCAGGCCTAGGATGCTACTCTGGGGAGCTCCTGCTGAGATGTCCTGGAGCTGGGACGACAAACCTGTTGCAACCACAACCATCTTCCCTTGTCCCAAGTATGACTCCAACCAGTGGAAAATTTTCCCTCTGATTTCTACGGACTGCAATTTTGCTAGAGCTATGTGATGCCAAACTTGGTCAAGTGCTACCTTAATACCTATGGCAGTCACTCTCACCTCACCTCTGGTGTTTAGTCTTTTTGTCCTAGTTTGGACCAAGGCTGTAAGGAGGTCAGTGAGCAGGTAATAGGAACATGGGAACAAGAGTAGACCATTCAGCACTTTGAGCCTGTTCCACTTTCTAATGAGATCATGGCTGATCTGTGGCCTAACTCCATATACCTACCTTTGGCCCATATTCCTTAATTTCTTTGCTTAACATAATTTTAAATCTGCGATAGATAATATTAACAACTGACCCAGCATCCACTGTCAGCGTTCCAAACCTCTACCACCCTTTGGTTATTCCTTGGTAGCACTGTCAGCAACCCTTTCCATCTCTTTGCTGATGTTTGGGAGTAGGGTTGGTGATTTGGCTGCGTTGTATTTGTCCTGCTATTTGTGTACAGACATACTTGGGCAATTCTCCACGTTGGGATACGTGCCAGTGTTGTAGCTGCCCTGGAACAACTTGGCTAGAGGTATAGCATGGTCCAGAGCACAAGTCTTCTGTACTATTGCGGAAATCTATTAATAGTAAATTTTCAACACCTGATGACATTAAAACATTGTTGCTATGTATTATATTAAATTGATCCTTATTTAAACTATCTGCTAAACTTGCAACCAAAGCTGAGAAGTGGAAATCTGATAAGTCTTCCTTGATTTGTTATTTTGACATACGTAATTGCTCTGAACTTACATGGGATCAGTTGGGTTGATCTGAAGTTCTGATGCAAAGCTGTGGAGAGTGTTTTATTTTATAGGGAGATGGCAAACACTTTTTTGGCGTCTGTGTGGAACGATATGAATTAATTGAGGTAGTTTGGAACACAACTGCTTTTAAGATAGTGTGAGATACAGGAGCCTGGCGTGTCCATCTATTATCCTATAATATAAAGCAGCAATATATATTGTGCTTTGCTAAAGTTTATTAAAATTCACTCTTTTTACAGTTGAATTTGAGTCTCCCATTTTTTAAGTAGACCTTAGCATTAATGTGTGAATTTCTCTGATCTCGGAAGCTCTGTAGCATTGTAATGCAGAAGCCCAGTTTTCTGCTGTTGTCAGAAGGAACGAA